CAGGAAGCTTTCACAAAAGTTCACCTTCTCCGTCCCAGTGGTTCTTGAGAAGATTTTTTTTTTCTGTAATATTTAATTGTAAAACTTTCAACCCCTATTGTGGCCCCATCTTACCTCCAGGATCACGGTTTGAACAATTTAGAATCAACACTACCTGTAAATTTCATTCTCTCTTGCCCAATGGTTCTTGACAAGAAGATTGCTTTAATGACCCCACCCTATTTTTGTTTTTAGCTCACCTGAGCTGAAAGCTCAAGTGAGCTTTTCCGTCCGTCCGTCTGTCCATCCGTCTGTAAACTTTTCACATTTTCGACTTCTTCTCAAGAACCACTGGGCCAATTTTAACCAAACTTGGTACAAAGCATCCTTGGGTAAAGGGGAGTTTAAATTGTTAAAATGAAGGGCCAAGTCCCGTTCAAAGGGGAGATAATCAAGAAAATACAAAAATTGGGTGGGGTCATTAAAAAATCTTCTACTCAAGAACCACTGGGCCAGAAAAGCTGAAACTTATGTGGAAGCATCCTGGGGTAGTGTAGATTCTAAATTGTTCAAATCATGACCCCGGGGGTAGGGCGGGGCCACAATAGGGAATCCAAGTTTTACATTGAAATATGTAGTAAAAATCTTTAAAAATCTTCTTCTCAAGAACCACTGAGCCAGAGAAGCTGAAACTTTTGTGGAAGCATCCTGGGGTAGTGTAGATTCTAAATTATTCAAATCATGACCCCCTGGGGTTAGGGCGGGGCCACAATAAGGAATCCAAGTTTTACATTGAAATATATAGTAAAAATATTTAAAAATCTTCTTCTCAAGAACCACTGGGCCAGAGAAGCTGAAACTTATGTGGAAGCATCCTGGGGTAGTGTAGATATTAAATTGTTCAAATCATGACCCCTGGGGGTAGGGCGGGGCCACAATAGGGAATCCAAGTTTTACATAGAAATATGTAGTTAAAATCTTTAAAAATCTTCTTCTCGAGAACCACTGGGCCAGAAAGGCTGAAACTTATTTGGAAGCATCCTTGGGTAGTGTAGATTCTAAATCGTTCAAATCGTGACCCCCGGGGGTAGGGTTGGGCCACAATAAGGAATCCAAGTTTTACATTGAAATATATAGTAAGAATATTTAAAAATCTTCTTCTCAAGAACCTCTAGGCCAGAAAAGCTGAAACTTATTTGAAAGCATCCTGGGGTAGTGTAGATTCTAAATCGTTCAAATCATGACCCCCAGGGGTAGGGTGGGGCCACAATAGGGAATCCAAGTTTTACATAGAAATATGTAGTAAAACTCTTCTTCTCAAGAACCACTAGGCCAGAAAAGCTGAAACTAATGTGGAAACATTCTTGGGTAGTGTAGATTCTAAATTGTTCAAATCATGACCCTCGGGGGTAGGGGGGGGGACCACAATAAGTACTACGAGGGGGGGGGGAGAGAAATCAGGTGAAAAACAGCAAGGCCAAAGTTACTCAGGTGAGCGCTGTGGCCCATGGGCCTCTTGTTTGTTTTTTGTTTTGATTACTTAAACTTGGAAGCAGGCTTGTTCCTTCATTTGAACAACTTAGAATCCCCTTTACCCAAGGATGCTTTATGCCAACTTTGTTTGAAATTGACCCGGTGGTTTTTGAGAAGAAAAGGAAAATGGGAAAAGTTTAGTGGTGGGGGAAAGATGTCGGACAACAGGTGATCAGAAAAACTCACTTTAGTTCTCAACTTAATTGAGTTAAAAAAAAAATGAGATCTGAAAAAAAAACTGCCTTATGTGGCTTTTAGCTGAGAAATTAAAAGTAAGCACACCTACCCCAGAATCACAAGCTGAGAGTCTACACACCATCTAGATATTTGCATCATATGCACCTACAAAAAGGTTCCTTAAATTAAAAAGACAATATTTGATCTTAAAACTAAAATAAGATGTCCAAAAAAAAAAAAAAAGAAAAAAAGAAATAAGAGGCCCATGGGCAACAACAACCTGAGTCTGACCCTGCTGTTCTTTTTCAGCAGATTTTTCCTATATACATGAACTCAATGTATTACTAGTATGTAAAAATTTGATTGCCTATTGTGGCCCTATCCTACCCCCAGAGGTCATCCATTTGAACAAAATTGAATCTACACCACCTGAGGTTGCTTCCATATCAGCAGGACTAATCATGCCTTTGCTGCTCTTGAGAATAAGATTTTTAAAGATTTTTTTCATATATAAATTGCTTTATAAAACTTCGATCACCTGTTGTCCCCCCAAGCTAGCCCCCAGAGGTCATGATTTGAACAAAATTGAATCTGCACTGAGGAAGCTTCCATATCAATGTGTTTAATAATGCTTATAATGCCTTTGCTGCTCTTGAGAAGATTTTTTTCCTATATATTCCTATCTAACAGTTTGATCGTCCATTGTAGTCCTACCCTACCCCTTGGGGTCAAGATCATTATAACAAATTTTTATCTACACTACCTGAGGATTCTTTCATATTAAAATGACTAATTATGCCTTTGCTGTTCTCGAGAGAATGATTTTTAAAGATTTCCTATGGTCCCCTACATTGCACAGTGGTTAGAGTGTTTGCTGACTGCTGTGCATCATGGATACGGTCCTTCTGATGAGACCATATAAACCAAGGTCCTGTGTTGCAGTAAGTGCTCCCACAAAAAAGATCCCTCACTGCTCAAATTTAGACCGTACTGTGCTGAGTACAGGTGATGCCAGCAAGTGATGGCATCTCAATGGGAGTGAAAAATTCTCGAAGGGAAGTTAAACGAAGCAAACAAACTAAATATTTTCTTATGGGAAACTCTGGGCGGTCCATTGTGGCCCTACTTTCAGAAATTTCAACTTTGCTTAGGGCTGTCACGCTTCCAACATTTTTCGGGTCGGGTCGGTTCTGTAAATTTTCGGTTCAGTTTTGGGTTTGTTGGTTCGGTTATTTACATCTATTTTAAACCTTAATTTCATGAATTTAACTTGAAAAATCTTTATTTGTGACATTAAATTTACATTGAAAACAAGTCTTAACCATGCGAACGTCTAGACATCAGTGTGTAGAACTACTTGGCCTACTATTAGCCACAACCTGACCATTCCTGCTCATTTTAATAATTATCTAATACTTCCGTGACAAGTGTTTTGTCATGGAATTAAGTAGATTTCAGTTGTGATGGTTATTTATCACTATTATCGTCATCATTTCTTTGATTTCGACGCCATTTTTTGTATTGAACAGACTCTAATATATAAACCAGACCCGAACCGAAATGCGGAAAAATGGAACCGAAACCGAACCGAACAACTTGGACCGCGATTCTCGGTTATTTCGAGTACTCTTGACAGCCCAAACTTTGCTGGCCATGTGATTCTTGAGAAGAATGTTTTTAAAAGATGCCATTAAATTTTCACTAATTCTTTATTACCTCCCTTTGTAAGAAGGTGTGGCCCTCTATTTGAAGATGCTTGAATCCCCATAACCCAAGGATGCTTTGTGGCAAGTCTGGTTGCAATTGGTGCAACGGTTTTTGAGAAGAAGCTGATAATGTGAAAAGTTTACAGAGAGATCGATGGACAGCTGGGCTGGACAGACCTAAGCTGGACTAAATGTAATCAGAAAAAAATAGAAAAGAAATTTTATCAGTATCTGCAGAACTCTATATTGATTATTAAAGTTCCTATCATGGCTCAATTATCGTGATATGTATCGTTATAGAAAAAGTTGTATCGTCCCAGCCCCAAAGTATGAATGCCCTAGCACCAACTATTCAAAAGTCAGTAAAGGTGAAAGTTTGCGAAAGTGTGTCACACTCCAAGGTCAAGAGGTCAAATATGTTGGTATCCAAAGAAAGGTATTTTCAAAAGGAATAAACATGTAAAGTATGAAATCCCTAACTCCAACCAATCAAAAGTTATGGGCAAGGTTAAAGTTTTTGCAGACGGATGGATGGATGGGCAGAGCAAAAACTAATATGCATGCATCCCAATCTTGGATTACAGGACTCTCACACCACTTTTTGGGACTGGGGCCTGGGCTGTTCAAATTGGGAAATTACCATCCTTTTTGGAAAATTGGGAAATCCAACATTCATAAAAAAAAAACCCTCAAATTTTGTTTTCTAGCATTTTGTCATCAATTCTGTTTTTGAATGAACTGTTAAACAGAACAAATATGGATAGGATATTTATGGAAGTACAAACAAATATGGAAAGGATATTTATGGAAGTACATTGGCTTTGCTCATTACTAACTTTGAGTGTTGAAATTGTAGTTATTTGTCTTTCCGAGTGACAGTCGCTAGTCACATCTTTCTGAATTTCCTCGATCACATGGTCATCGCGGTTTTCAGATTAAGCATGAAACTGACTGGCGCAAGTGGTGCTAAGCACAGCTTACTGTTGTTTAAATAAAATGTCTATTTTATGGCACCTAGATGATGTTTTCTTGTCAATTTTATTGAGTCAGACATAATACTTCGCATTATGGCTCATTGTTACCTAAGTCCATAATAACAATAACCTGGTTCCCCGAACCAGTTTACAAATATAAATGATGTGAACTAATTAATACAGTCATACATAGAACCTATTTTGTTTCACTTGTAAGTGTTTGTTTTTTGGCTATCAAGTTTCATTGAATTTGATTTTTTTTTTTTTAATATTTTGCTACAGAAAATTGGGAATTTTACACCTTTATTTTGGGGAAAAAGGTACCTTTTTTGCATTGGGAATGGGGCCATTCAATGGCCCCAATTATAGAGAATCTAGAGCCCTGGATTACAGGGGCATTAAAAACAATGTACTAGTACTTAACTTGGGAATGTTTGCATATGATTTCATTTAGTGTGGCCCTACTATTGGAAGGACAGAAGACAGACAAAACAAACACTATAAAACCCTGCAATATTCATTTTTCGCTCATAAAAATATTATCATTTTATTTTTTAAGTCAGAGACAGAAATAAGGGTGCTAAAAGAGATTTCAGTATTGTACCTTGGAATTTGTTTTAACAATATTCACCTATTGGTGGCTGGTGATTGGATCTATATCAGTAGGGGTGATGAGGCTTGCCACCTGGAGTTTCTCTTGAAAGACCAGTCACATGTCCAGTGTATGAAGTTCTAAAATAAAGAAATAAAAGTTTACAAAACATAAACATGATCATGATAAAAATGTACATCATAAACAATACTGACTACAGTATAAACTGTCTATGTAAACAAATAATGAAAATTATGCCAAAGAAAGGACCAAAGAGGCTGCATGAACATCAACACAAAAGAGGAAGTATCCCTCACAATAAGGGCTTGCAATACCAAAACTCAGGAACAACAAACCTAGTCCTATTACCAGTTCCTATAAGTAGACTAAGTAAACTAGAGGTACTGTGAGCACTGCACTGTCACTCACAAATTGATAACCCCTGATCCCATATTAGTATAAAGGAAAAGTCCATTTTTTGCTGTGGGAAACCCAAAATATCTGTTCAGTTGAAATGTGAAAGAGGAGGTGTGCGATGGCACCATATGTAATAAAGATTCTGTTAAAGAAAGTATCATTAAATTTTATTCATTGTTATAGGAGGAGTTGTGGATAAGAGATGGACACCCCCTAATATGGAAAGAATGGCAGTGATATATTTTGCTATCATTGTGCAGCCACAAAATAAATGATTTTTTTCCAGAAACCAATGCACAGGGCTGGAGCAGTAAAACAGTGTTTGAAACTCACTGCAAAATTAGCCAGACATGCAGGGCTGACTGCTAGTAAAAGTTGTTAGCCCTGCCAAAGATCTACTAGCCCAAGAAAAAAAATCTTCTTTTATAAATTTGTTTTCAATGATTATGTGACTGGAACCAGGTTACCATAACTTCAAACCAGAATCTATAGACTGATGAATTCTCTCTCTTGTCTTGTTACACTTTGCTACCGATACTATTAGTTGATATGAAAGAAATTTATCAAATAGATGAATTCTAATTATTGAAAATTTTAACACGTCCAGCCGGGCATCAATACATGTAAGTGCGTCTCGGGCGGTCGGGCGCACGGTTATTTCAAACACTGAGTAAAATGATGATTTTGCAATCCGGGCAAGGCAAAGCTTGATGACTCCTACACAGAAACAATGTTTATATGTGACCCAAATTTGAAACTGCAAGAGTACGTGTATTTCACTAAGTTGTAGAACACAAAAAATCTACAGAAGTTCCTGACCTGAGGTAGTTTACCATACTGGAATCATAATGGAGGGAAAAAAGGTCTGGCTTGATTCTTCCATCAGATATTAGAAGTCCTAATAATGTATACAACGTTCCATGAGGAGACGCACAAAAAAATGAGGATATCCGAAAGGGAACATAGATCCCACACAGCTCAAACGTGGCCTCGGCTGTATTTTTTTAGAACCTGTCCAACAACAGAGGATATATGTGTGATATGCTTCTTGGCACAAATAATGAACGAGAAACAGCTGCCAATATACAACAGACCTGCAACAAAGTGAGAAAAATTATAAATGATGTGAATGCAACCTGCATAATGATAATTAGACAATGTTTAATAACTTACTGAGTGAACAAAGAGGCCCACAGACCACAGTGCTCACCTGGGCTTTACGATCCTGATGAAATATTGGGATCCTACACTGCAGCCCCACTTCCCACTATAGCATTAAAGGGTTATGATTTACCAGGTAACTGTACAGATCAACATGGGGATGCCTCAATATCAAATTGACTAACAAGGCTTTGCCTCTGGAGAAGAAGATTTTTTTCCTGTTTACATGCATTATGTAAAATTTGATCACCAATTTTGACTTTTGCTGACCCCAGGTTTCATTATCTGAAAAAAAATCCTATGTTAAACTCTCATCAACGGAACTACCACCCCCTTCCCCCCACCCCCTCTTTTACTCTGACCAGGATTTGTACAAACTCTAATACCTGAAGTTGTTTGCTTTTCAATATGACTATAATCATGGTCCTGTTGCTCTGAAAGTTACCAGGTGATTTGAAAGATTTTTTCCTATATATTTCCAGGTAAATTTGATCCCCTATTTTTGCACCACCATAGCATTACGATCATGATTTGAAAAACTTTCATCTGCATTATCTAAGGTATGCAAATTATTATGACAAATCTTGAACCCATCATGCATGAAAACAATTTTTTATTATTTTTCTAAATATTCATTTGTATAACTTTGCTCCCATATTTGGCCAAACCCTTCCCTAGAGATGAAGAATGGAAGAAAAGAATCTGCACTACATGTAAATACTTGCATATTATATCAATATGGTTCATCATTTTCTAGCTGTTCTTTACAAGTTCTTTAAAGTTTTTCCCCTTTATATTCTCATGTTAAAAACCTGTGAACAATAGTGTTTATTCTGCTGCCTACCTCCAAGTCAATTTTAAAAAGTTAACACATTTCAATGTTTTTTTTTCAGATTTACATAGATATTTATATGAATTTTCACAAAACAGAACTTGTTTGTGAAAACAGAGAGAGATAACTCAGTAATTTTGGTAAAACATTGTTTTCAGTATAAATAGAAATGGAATATACTTTTCAAATATCATTATTTTACATAAACTTAATGACAGGAAAGATTGAAAGATCATTTATCCAAATCTAACGTCCATGAGTATTTATAAATCTGGCTACATTTTAAAGTCCAATTTCCAGGGAAAACACTTTATACCCCCTTATCAGGAAGACTTGCATTTAACAGCAATTAGTTAATTAACACTGGTTTCAGTGCTATCAGAAGTCAACTTAGCATTCCAAAAAAGATCAAATAGCAAATATTTTAAAAATGCTGAAGTATGAGTGTAAAATGTAGACAGAAATCAAAACAGGATATTATTTTATCTCGGAATAATTATATGTTTCGGAATTTAACAAAATGTTGTTTATTGATGTAGAACATATCTGTAGATTGTAGAAGCAGATTTGCAGTTGAAATTTGCCGTAGAACCCTTTTCTAAATAATGGAGATGAATAAATCATGCTGAACTGTGCCTTTTCTTGTATATAAATGTGTTTAATTTATGTACGTGTTATATATGTTCTTAACTTCATTCTTCTTTGTTCTTTATTTTGTACTGGGATATGTGTCTACTTTTATGTGTTTGTTGAAATTGTTCTACGTTCCGTAGTCGTGCCGGACACGGACTACGCACACTGCGCATGCGTCCGATTCGAGTCTTCCGCTGTGTTGCCTTACTTAGCAAATTTGCCTACTACCGATTTCATAAAGAAATAACTCACGAAGAACGATAATACATACCAATACGTATTTAGAAGGACCACTGCAAACACTTACTAATATCTTTACCGCTTAAACATCGTTTAAATCCAGCAAATACCTAGAAAAACGCGACCATGTTAACACCTCACAGGTTCCTACATAGTGCAGCAGTTAGACGTCACGTTTCAAAATACGACGTCACAGGTACTCTGTTTTCCCGAACTTTCTAAAGCAAAATGGCAAATAACATTGTAAGTAATATAAGGTATTATGTCGTCGTAAAATAAAACACGTAGTTTATTCTTCTTGCTAAAAGTTCCCTTTTACCTAAGTTATCAAATTTCACAAAAGGAAACGGAAGTGAAAAGTTTTTAGTACAGAAAACAAGCTTTAAAAATTGGAAGATCCAGGATCCGCCCGCTTGTTTCACCTCAGCTAAGAAGTGCATATTTAGTGTGCAAGTCTCAAGTTCTCAAGCTTCTGTGACGTCACGCTCACGAACCTGTAAAGGAATCAGATATTACCAGAAAATCTGATGGGATAAATTAGCCATATGAAAATAAATAAATAAAATATGTTTAAATTTAAAGTGTCTGAGCGTGTGTAAAGTAACCTGTTTTAAAGCCATGGTTTTTACGATCTGCATGAATGTAGGTATGTAAATTTATAAGGAATAATGTTGATTAAAACAATAAAACTTGCACACTTTTTGATTCCTCCCACTTTTCAAAAGTTGGTAACTGGAAAACGGTATGGAATTTGACTGACCTGTCCCAATAAAAAAAAAGCATTTCTGAATTTAGTGCCCCCCTTTCCAAAAGAGATAGAAACTGAGAGAGAGACCACATGCTGAATACGATTTGCCGTCATTTTGCTGTATAAAATATGAAACCACGCGTTAAAATAAATGAATAGTAATGACTCGCATTTTGTTTGTAGACTCAAAATAAATGAAAATCAGTGTGGATCAAGAATTTCCTGTGGCTGTCTGCATAAATATTGTTTAAATCAATTTCCTGTCTTAGATATGGTACACTTTTTTTAACCTTCATATATATATTACAGCTGCTTCATAAATCCTATTCACAAGCTAGTGTGTACATGTGTATATCGGTGATATTCGACAATCTATGTTAGAGGTACATGTACCATAATTATCGCTTAACCCAATACAAAGTCTATGATACTAGTGTTTAAGGTTGATACATTTTTTTTTCTTCAGCCAGTTAAATTTCCTTTCATGCTTTGCGATATCAAAAGAGGTCTTCTTCAGCGCAGAAGGAGTTGTGATATATAATTTCATCGCAAAAGCTATCAGACTTTTTAAGATAATACATACAATGTTTTCTATCCCCAAGATGTTTTCCACAAACTGTCCCTTATAAGGTCTCATTTCCTGACGTTCCCTCTGGCAGAATAAAATACGTTTTCCTTCCTTTTGTTTGAGAGGCACAATACGGTACAATAACTGGTAAAACTTACATTAAAATAAAATCTATGAGTTAGTGTTGTCCATTTAATAAAGTCATTTGATACATCAGTGAGATTTGAGTAGGGATTTTTTTTTTGTTGGTTCATTTCGAAGTTTCTCATTGACATGCAGAGTAATTAGGCAGTAATAATAGTATATATTTATCGTTGACTTTTTCTTGAGGTCAATACGATGATTTCGTCACCTGATATTTGTATATACCGATCCTAAAGGGCGAGTGATAATTGTCATTCTGGGGTGCCTAAATCATTGTGTTGACTGAAAAATACCAATGATTATTCTAGAATGATTCAATGACTAAATGATACAAACTCGTAAAGATGTTCAAAGAAACTTTCAAACAACATTATAATAGTAAAAATTTACGATAAAGAAAAATGGAGGGGACAGCCCCCCCCCCCCCCCCCCCCCCGGAGTAATCTGACATATACTGCTGCCCCTTGAAAGAAATATAGGAATGAAATTATTTATCTTTTGGATCAATCGTTAACACTGTATGTCCTGATAAGTAATCTAACATTAACTCAGGTCCTCTATATCCTTTCAGTAAAATGATTTTCGAGTTCGTCTAGACCCCCCCCCCTTTTTTCTGGTCTCTGGTCATCTTAGAAATAAATATTCTGACTTGAAAGGGCATGAAAAATAAATAATCTGATTTCAAGTAATTTGTCCCCCCCCCCCCCCTTCGTTATCAAATGGTCGTTATTTATACTCATCTTTAACTTTAGCGTGCCTTTAAAACATTGACTAATCACCGAAAATGCTGGAGAAAACAGGATATATGTCAAAACGGAGCTGTTTATTTGTGTGTAAAAAGCAAAGGTACCGGTGCTTTTTGATTAATAGACTACATTGTCGGAAACGGATTATGAGTTAGTAACTTCATGGAAAGAGATGTGTGCTTCCCTGTTGTGGATCCTGTGAAAGCTGAGTTACCTGGTTAAGAAAATTTTAAAAAATACTGACAAACGAACTTATGCTGCTGAAACATAGTAAACTAACTAAATGCCAAGTGGCAAAATGCCAAAGTTTTTAAGGACCCCTCTATACACCATAGGAAAATATTTTTTGAACATTGAGAAAATTATAGTATGTAAAGATGTACAATTTAATATTGAGCTTATGTGTTATAATTTCAACATAGGGCACCTGGTATTTACTTCCAGGAAAAATGTCCAAAGACAATGATGTACTGATGAACAGAAATCACTACTATTTAATAAAGTGGGCAAAATACCTGCAGATGAAGTGTTCAATCTATTCATCTTGGCCTATTAAAAAGTTATGAATGCTTGATTTAATCACAAATTAAGTAATAAACTGTTCGTTTGAATTTTTTTTCTATATCAAAGGGCAGATTACTCTATCCGCATAAAGATATCAAAAAAACAGAACCCTTGAAGGTGCAGTGCAGGCCCGTAGGAAGCAATTTCACTTTGAGGGGGCACGACCATACATTTTTCAGTTAAGGCGGCACTATCAACTACCAAAATTCCTTGACAAGCTGTGTTGATTGTGACATCGCACGATTGTTTTTCTGATGATGGATTCGACAACCTGGCAGGAACCAGTAGTTTGTGATTCGATCCACTTATTAAATTAAAATTAAAAAATTGTTGAAATTAGCATTTCTTAAAAATATCATATTTATGTACAAAAAAGGACAAAAGGTTCAACACTTGCCAGCTTGGGATTCCTAGGGGTGCCTCGATTCACACTTGATTTTATTCAAT